GCGCGGCCCCGCCCCTCCGCACGGCAGGCCGCTCTCGGGCTCCCCGTGGGGCCCGCTGCCCGCGCGGGCCTTGTGCTTCACCCCAGGGCGCCGCGGGGGTCCGGGAGGCCGCCCGTGGCGCCAGCCCCGAGTGCGCCGCAAAGCCAGAGAGAGGAAATAAAGCATCCATGTTTTAACAGCCTTTTCCCACCTCCCCCACTTCCAAGCCTTAAACCTTCCCTTGGGACACAACTCTCAGCTTTTCTCTGAAACCACCAAGACTAGAAGCTGCCTTTCTTTTTCAGACAAAACTACCCCCGCCTCAGCAAAAAAGGGGGCTTTCAGGAAACCTTGCGCCACAGGCAGCGCGGGTCTCCGTGCCCCTGGCCCAGCTCTCCCCCCAGCTTGCGCACAGAGGGCCCCTCTCCACATATCTGCCCTTCACAGCCAGGATCTCCTCCTGCTCCCGAGGCCAGTGCCCCGAGGCATGGCCCAGCGCTGGCCGGCCATTGACCCCCTCTGGGCCTGCCCGTAGCATCCAGCTCTGCTCCCTCGCCTGCGCTTTTTAATGTCCCTCCTGTTTTTTTTTTTTTTCCTGAGAAAATGCAAACCACACAGTCCTGCTCCCTGCTCTCCCTGTGCCGTGCTTTCCTATAACTCAGCGCCCTTTTTCCTTATTTCGCAGTGCTTGCTGCAAACACGTCTTTTGCACAGTTTTAAAGCAGGCCCTGCAGAAATCCCTGTCTGTGAAGACACAGTGCTAATCACAGCTAAATTACTTTGCTTATGAGGGACTCCCCTGACATCGAGCAGAACAAGCACAGGGTACGGCACTTATTTCTGGAGATAAAGAGGAATTTCCCTCTGGGATGGGGTGACACGAAACACCTTGTTTAGATATAGAGAGGGGAGCCTGAATCAGCAAGTGAAGGGGATGTGAGGTAACCCAGGCAAAACTTTTCCATCATGATGTACACTGGGCACGGACAAAAGGCCACACCTGCGGTTTCACTAAATCGTCTCACCTGATCCGGCGCTGCTGGTTACTGACTGACGCTGGCAAATTCCAGTGCTGCAAATCCTATAAGGAATTTCTTCTTCTGTGTATCAGCAGGGCACTTTGATCTGCCTGTGACTAGAGCAGCTGGGGCTCCCGGATGGGCTGTGCTTCTTCCTGGCTCCTGACGGTGCCTCCGGCTGCATGGGGCTCCCTCTCAGCCCCCACATCCAGCAGCCCCTTCTGCAGCCGTGGCCTAGGTTTGGTAAGGCTGGCGGGACCGATTTGTACAGGGTCTTCTGCAATAGGGAGATTGGGCTTGGAGTTGACCTTGTCCCATTTATCTGAGTTATGTAACATCTTCCCGTATGGGCTGCTGGCTACGTGACACCTAACTATTTAGGCCAATGTAGTCTGTGACAAATGTGATGGTCGGCTTGGGGGAGGGAAGCGGGAAGGCTTGTTCTGCCTCAGACCCAGGCGGGAAGGGAAACAGCTGGAAGCCTTACAGCAGGGTCACTCCTCAGCTGACACAAATTTCCCTGTCCTGCGCTGGTGGGAGATGCCCCATTTCAGCTGAGCTCAGCAGTCCTGCACACAGGGCCCCTTTTCTGCACAAGAGCTGGCTTAGTAAATCAGCATGCTCCCTCTGACCATCCTCTTCAGAGCAGGAGCGGAGAGAAGGTAGCTCTGAGATGTGCGGTCTTTGCATCTCTCTAGGGGGATCAGCGGTTGGTCCTTCAGGCTCCTTTGGACACAGTGTAGTTCCTACTACTGGAATATTAATTTGCATTTCTGCCCCCCAGCCTGAGAAGCCAGCGCTGCCACTGTTCCTTACCATTAGGATGCAAATCGATAGCAACTTTGGAATCATGAATGTGAGCTGGAGGTGGTAGTAGCCAAAAGTTGGAGTTCATGGTTAACATTTGGGGTGGTTTGAATAAGAACAGCATGTGGAGTTCTAGGCAAATGGATTCCTATTTCACAGCAGAGTTGCTATCAGCTTGCCTGCAGAAAATGTATGCTGGGCCTAGTTTGTGGCATTGCTGCCCATTTTGCATGTCACAGAGGCTTTCTGGGCACTCCCTGATAAGACAAGGGAGTCCTTTCTTCTGCTTCTACCTGTGTGTGAGGGGACTCAAGGCAGGCCTTTCCATCTCTTTCAGCAGTGCTTTGGGTAACCTCAACCCAGAAAATCCTGGGCCTTCCTGGACATGCTGTACCCCAGATTAACAGTCAAAGCCTTCCAGTTTCCATTCTAGGTGCAGCGTATTCCTGCCTGCCATGTTGCAGTGCCGTTAGGCAGCAGCAAAACAATGTGGATGAGAAAGAGGAAATGTAGAAACACTATCCAGAACAAATGTAAGTCTGGTAGCAGACTATTGCTTTGAGGTACTTAAGGATAGCCATGACTAGGGTCTGGTAGTGTCTCTGCAACTGCTCTGCTCTGTGACCAGGGGCATATTGCTTACCCCTCAGCCTGCCTTCTGGCCATTTCTTTGCCCTGCCTGTTTTGGTTACATTCCCTCCAGGGGAAGGGCTGTGCCTTGCTATGCTGTACAATAAAGCCTCATTCTCTCCCGAGAAGGTTCATTTGGAGCCTGCAGTGCAAAACCAATAAATTAACCCTGGGACATAATCAGTCTTCCTTGCCAGGATATTTGGTATGTAGCTGGGCTGCTCTCCCTGGTCTGCCAGGGGTCACAGCTTTGAATCCCAGCAAGAGAGAGCGGGTGCACGAGTCGCCACGCCTGGGTCTTGGTGATCTGCTGAGCACAGCGCGGGTGGCTGGGCAGCTCTCCGGTAAGTGTGGAGGGTGCAACAGCACCAGACAAGACGGCATCTAGCAGACAGCATATATTCATAAATGGTACCATAAGTCTGGCTTATTTTGTCATCATCCAAGATGTTGCTGCCACCAGGGTTAACAAACAGCTGCCCGGAGTTGCTGGCTGTCTTGGCCATCAGTGGCTGGGCCTTCAACCTCATGCTCCCTGTGTGGGCCTCACTTCAGTGTCCCTGCTACATTTGCAAGCCTGAGGCATGGCAAGACCCTGGGCTAGTTGCCTGTGCCACCCTCTCATGCACAGGAGGTCCAGCCTAACTGGGCTAGGGAGAGTTCTCTGTGGTGTGAGATGCTGGTGGACATCCTCATCCGAGGGGGTTTTCTAGCAAGGAAATGTCTTACAGCATTTCTAGAGTTTCTGTGTCAGTGTGACAACAACTTAAGAGTCAGGCCTTCAGCAGCACTATTTCTCCTTACCTTCTTGCTACCTTGAGACCAACACTTACCGTGAGACCTTATCTTTCATTGTCAGGTGTGAGGGGAATGAGGATGTCATCGTTTGTCTGAAATGGAAAATATGTTATTGCAATAAGTTAATTTGTTTTTCAGCGTGACTTGAATTTGTGCAGTAAGTAAAGCTGTGTAGCTTGAATATTGCAGCTATATAAGGGGAAGCCAGCTCTCACTGAGAAGCTTCAGTGGCAACACAGGATTTCTGGGAGGTATTTATGGACATGCAAAGACCCTCTTGTGATGTATCCTGGCAAATTCAGTGTTGCTTAATCTCAGACTAGGAGGACAAGTTTGTACCTGAGGAAAATCTACTGCTCCAGAAGAGGTTCCCTGGATACTTGGAGGTAAGTTGTTTCCTCAGAGTATCCCTGCAGGGCCAACATGGAGACTCCTCTCTGGACAAAAGGAATCATTCTGTTTGCACCAATGTTGCCACTTACTTAGACACTGGAGCCTTCGGTCTTTAAGGCTGCCTGTCAAGCACCTTTCATCAGGAGCAAATTCTCTTGAGTTGGAATTTGCCTCTGGACAGAGTTAGAACCACTCCCAAATACCACTCGTCACGATTACGCACTCCCCATCAGCGGGGCTGTATCGAGGCTCTGTGCAGGGCCTCTCACCTGTAAGGATCCGCGGGAGCCCTCTCGCGCTCTCCGCGGACTGCGGCCGCTCTGGACCCAGTGTCTCCGAAAGGGTTTTCTTGCCTCTTCTGGACTTGCTGCCTTGGAAGAGGGCAAACGAGCATGTTCTGGACGTGCTGAGCTGGCTGGCTGCACTTGGACAGGATTGTCCTGGTCACCCAATTCATCTATGCTGTAATCGTACGCTGTTATTAGGTGATTATGGTTCCGTATCTTCATTGAGCAATTAGTCACGTGCTCATAAACAATGTAAATAACCCCCAGAGAGGTAGCAAATTAATCATTCAGTAATGACTTCAAATGTCAGGAACTGTCCACAGAGATTGGCAGCTACTCTTTTTTTCTTTCTTCTGTGTTGCAAAACCATCTAGCGCTTTTGTTTCTTATTATTGCTAACACTCTGCAGGCTATTCTGCTTATAAGCCAACTGACTTCAGTGGGCTTACTCACCAGTAAATCCAGAAAATTTGGCCCAAATATTTCATGCTGCTGCTGAAGGTTTTTCTTTTTCTCTTTTTTCTTTTTCCTTTTCCTTTTTTTTTATTTTTCTTTTCAACAAAGCAAGTCCCTTTTCTTTTTAATTTTACACTGATGTTGATAGTAATAGATACATCCTTGGCCCTATTCTTCTGTGATCTTTCTATTTTTGAAAGTCTTTGAAACTCAGGATAAATATTTAGGCCAAATTCTTACTTAGACAGGGGCCGCTTTGCACATAACATCAGAGATTTCAAAATGGTCATGATAAAAGTTATATCTGATTAGTGTCTCTTGATTTTTTTTTAATTTCTTGTTATTCTTTTAACACATTTCCGGCTTGTGGGAAACCCTAACAGTAGGTGACAGATATGAAAACTTCAGCATACCATGTTGGACTTTTATTTCTCATTTTAAACCAAGTTCATAGAGCTTTTGGAGCTTGATTTTTGATTTTGGTGCTTGGGGTTGCCACTGCTGTGTTAGAATGCTGCTTTACTTTGTGGTGTGACTTTGAATCAGTGTTTCTTTGCAGCTTGCATGAGCTCAGTCCCTCTTTCAGCTCCCCCTCAGCAGTGCCGGTTCTGTTGGCCTCTGGTGTTTGCTGCTGTAGTGTTAGGAGAGCTCAAGAACTTTTCAGATCTTTCACTTATGCCCCTAGGAATGCTCCTGCTTTTCTGTGAGATTTATAGAGTCTATCAATCTTTTTTTTTTTTTCCAGATACATTTACGAAATGCTGGTAAATGTCTTTTTTTTGACATACTGGTGTATTTCTGGAGTGAGGCTGTCAAGATAGATAACCAGAGGAGAGCAGTTCTGTTTGGGAACAACTTTTGAAGCTTCCTAATTAGCTCTCAGTCTGTATTGGGACAAAGCCACAGTATTTCAAATATTCTGGCAGAAAGAGTTGTGTCCAAATTTCCATATTCTGTGTGCGAAGTGTGATTTCTAGACTGCAATGTACTTTTTTTTTTTTTTGGAGCTGGACTATGAGGGGTGCATGCTAGTAGCTTGTGCCTTGGGAAGTGACTTGAGAGATGTCCAGATTCAAGACTCTGCTCAGCTTCATTTTGAGCAAAATCTCTCTCCCTGATCATGCAAAATCAAATATGAGGCTGAAGCCTGTTCCAGGGCCTGGGCTTGTTCTCTCCGGCCACTGGGAGTCTGTTACTTCTTTCTAACCCCACCAAGCAAAAGTGTGTGCGCATAAGAGAAGACGAACAGCTGTGCTGTGTCAAGCCAAAGGTTCATGGAGCCCAGAATCCTGTCTCCCACAATGACTGATAGGACGAGTACAAAAATGAGCATGAAATAAAGGCAAATATATAGTGATAATTCTCCCAAATGTTCCCCATCTTCCAACAATTTGGGGACTTCCTGAGATAGACCTGATCTAAATATACATTTCTCCCTGTACTTTGTCTTGCTGTTTTTTTGAATTAGTGGAAATTTCTCATACCTACAGCATCCTGTGGCAAGGACACCTGCAGTTTAACTACCTGTTGGGTAAACAGACGCCTCTTATTGCTTGTTTTCCCTGCCGCTTTCATTTGATGCCCCTGGCTCTTGTAATGAATGCTAGCAATTTCCTTGGATGAATTCTTACTGAGGCCTACCTGCCTCTCAAGCTGTTGACTGCAAATAAATATACTATGTGACATATCCTCAGCCTTACAAATGGAGGATGTATCCTGATCAGAGAGAGGTGAGAGCCTCTCTCCTCCTATTTATGTGCCTTCTAGGCTCTCGCAGTAAAATCTAGGAGCACAATGCAGCTGTGCAAGCTTATCTTTTTCTAGGGAGTGTGACCAAGAATGCCTAGAGCTGCTCTGCCTGCAAGAGTAATTCCCAGTCTCTACATCTTGGTTCAATATGTGTTGCCACTGTGCTTGGAGACACCAGAGAGAGCCTGCTCTCCGTAGGTGGCATTTCATATCAGAAGACACCTTTCCCCTACAAAGTCTCCCCAGACACTGGCCCTGATTTTGCAATGGATATGATCTGAGACTGTACACAAACACATGCTTAACTTTAATCCACAAGTGCTTAAATGCCGTTTGAACATAGCTTTGCACCATTCTTGTTGCTGGATATGTCTGTTAAAGGCCCAACAAAAACAGTTGCTGAGTTCCTACTTTACATTCCTCTTCTTGGGCAGCAAAGCCTGCATGTGTGTTGTTTTCAGGAGTCCTCCACATGGCCACTGACACCTAATGCAGGAATTGCCTGAATGATAACCAGCTTTATTAGCTGTTTAATATAAGCAACAGGCACCCTGGGTGGTGCTGGATCTTGTCTGAGGTTCTTCACAGCTGGGTTTTTCCAGGAGGATCACTGCTTCACAGCAACCCCCTAAACACACTCCTAGCCTGCTCTGAAAGGGCACATTTTGCTGTAGGTTCGTATTTTCCTGTTGCTGTAGCTCATGGTATGAGTGCTGTGACGCTGCGACATGCTACTGGCAGTGTATTTTGGCAGCAGGGGTGTGATGCTGTTCCTAGAAGTAAGCAGTGCTGTGCTGAGAGCTACTTCACCCTACCTGGTATTGTCTGCAAAGCAGAAGCTATCTGTCTGGCCTCATACTGGGGATACTGAGCTCTGATTATGGCAGTTGCAATAACGTGCAGTATCCCTGCTGGGTACGTAGGCTCCTTTTGCTCCCGTCTGTTCTCTTGCAGAAGTGTAGCACGCTGCTCCATGAGCTGCTCTCTTCAGGGGCGAGTGAGGCCTGCCTGGGCTTTGGGTGTGCAGCTCCGTGTCCGCTGAAGTTCTCCACAGCTCATTTCCCGTGCAGAATTTTCCACTCCTTATGCAAGGAGGTTAAAATAGGAAGGAAGGGGTAGCAGTGCTCTGTGGGACAGGGAGCCAGCACAGCTCACAGATTTCGGAGCCTGCTGAGGGATGAAGAGCCAACTTGAGCTGTTTTTTCCCATTCCTTCTTGCTATGGATGTTTTCCGTCTGCTGCAAAGGGGTGAGCTACAGCTGAGTGGGACTTTGGCAGGGAGTAGGGCAGGAAGTATACATTGCACAGAGGACTTGACTAAGTGAAGGAGCCCAGGAGTTGGCAGGCTGGGGCCTACAACCTTGTGAGATTTTGGCTGAATTTCTGGTTACCATGTGGATCTGAGGAGTTATGTCTACAACCAAGTGAGTAATGCCTTAATCATGTATCTGGGGCATTGCAACCCTCTTCATGTTGCTAAGTGGCCCATGAATTTATGATTGATTTTTTTTTCATCTCAAGCAATCCTTTTATCTCTGTTGCAGTCTCCTGATGAGTCTTCAGAAGCTTGTTTCTTGGAAAGCCTCAATACTCAAAATTCAGTGTTACTTCATTTTCTTGGAGCATGTTGATCACCTCTTCTTTATGGTCTTGGATGATAGCTCTCATGCATCATCTTGTTTCTGGTCTTGGATGATAAACCTTGTGCTTGAAAAGAGGTACCTACCGGAAAAAGGATTTCCCCCAGGCAGCCGGCAGCATCTCTTGCTGTTCTTGCAGATGTCTCTAGCAGCATGCACCCTTGGCTGCGACAGGGCGGGGAAGTAAACACACAGAGGATGAAAATG